GGCATTTTGGTTATTCAGAAGAAGTTATTTAAAGGTTTTTTAAGACAATTGACCCCTGTGACCTTGAATATAATTGAAGGTCATTCATTTGAACAAACTTTGTAGCCCTTCACCCTAGCATGCTACTGACCAAATATCATCTCCCTGGGCAGTTTGGTTATTGAGAAGAAGTTGTTTAAAGTTTTTAACATATTTGACCCCTGTGACCTTGAAAATAGATGAAGGTAATTTATTTGAACGAACTTGGTAGCCCTTCATCCCAGTTTGCTTCTGGCCAAATATCATCACCCTAGGCCTTTCGGTTATTAAGAAGAAGTCGTTTAAACTAAAATATTGACGCCGGACGATGGACGGACGACGGACGGACGGACAGACGGACGGACGGACGATGGACGGACGACGGACGCCGCACCACGGCATAAGCTCACTTGGCACTTCGTGCCAGGTGAGCTAAAAATTGTACAAAATAAAACACATACCTAGGTGACTTAAGGAGAGGCCCATAAGGCATGTACTGTTCTTCTGGAAACTTGAACAGAAGTTGGTGGAAATAGGGGTCAATGCAGATTATTTGAAATCATTTGCTGTTTCAAATCAGCAAAATACAGGCTACATATCTTTGCTCTGGGCCACATGGTTGATTAAAAGTGATGAAAATCATTTAAACTGTGACCTCAAAATTTGATCAAGGTAACAATCATTCTTGAGCAAACTTTCAATATCTTCATCCCAGCAAGCTACACACTAATTAATTACTACTGCAATGTTTTGGGCCCATTTACACAGAAGAGGTCATTAGGGGGCTATATACACACAAAAACGATCATCACTTTGAGCCTTGTGTTTCATATAAAGAAGTTGTTTGAAACTTTTAACATATCTGACCCCTATGACAATGAGTGTGAATCCAGTTCATTTATTTGGATAAACATGAGTCCCAGCAATCTACAGGCCACGAGGCCAAATACCATTACTCATGGTTCTATGTGATGTTTTAGATTAATTAACGTCTGGGACCCTCAATGCAATTCTTATTCAGTCCCTATTTTAACAATTTGATAGCCCTTCAGCTACAGGCCACATACCATGACTGTAAGGATCATGGTTTGTTAAAAAGAGACTGTTCAAAGACATTCACACATTTAAATTTGACCCCTGCAATCTGAATGTATTTCAAGTAAAGTATTTATCAAAAGTGGCTGCTCTTTATCAAGCAAACTAAAAGCCAATTCTTACACGATTCGTTTGCAACGCATGTTTTGATTGGATATACGGACCATGTTCTAATCTGTGATAGAATCATGATCGATCGTGTTAAGCTCCTCCATCACACTTAAGCCACGCCCCGTTTCTAACCAAAACATGCTCGCCATGCACTTAGTGAAATCCCACTGATAAGACTAGTAGCTAGGCAACAGAACAAAACGACCGATGAAATGCATCTGTTGAATGAATTAAAAAGTACACATTCCTTGTTCTTACCTCCATTTATAACTGAAACTTACTGAAATTTGGTTTAAACTCTCGACCTATCGGTCTTGAGCTCAAACCCAAATTTCATGTTCTAATCGCCAGTATAGCCACTCAAAACAACGTACTATCCCCTAAATATCATGACTCAAAACCATGTACTCCTGGACAAGATAAAACTTGAATAATTTGATATATTTGACCCATACCTGTGACCTTGAATGTACAAAAATATCACTTACTTGACCGTGAAGCTACAGGTCTTAATTAAATCATTACCGTAGGTTAATTTCATGGTTGATTGGAGTAAGTCTTTTGAAGATTTAACACTAACAACTTGTGACTTTGAATGTGGGTCAAGGTCATTTAATAATGAACACCTTTGATAGCCTATCAACCAAGCAAGCTAGCTTTATAGCAGCTACAGAAAATCTACTCATAATTACTTGAGGTTTCATATGGTTCAATAGACGAAGCCATTTGAAGATTTTAAATTTTAACCTGTGACTAATAAATCCTCTATCTCAGTTGGCCAAAAGGTCATGACTCCAGGCCTTGGGGTACTGAAGAGGTTATTGTCAGAATATTATACCATTATATATAGCTGATTACAGATTTTTGCAATGGTTAAGATGATGTGATTATGATTTGGTTTGGTTTAGTATTGTTTAATATCCTATCAACAGCTATGATCATTTAAGGACGGCCTCCCCTGTGTGTAAGATGCATGTGTGTAGTGTATGCGTGTGTGTTTTGGGAGGCTGTGATATGTTCGTGTTTATCTCCTTGTAATGGCGCGGAACTGATGCCGACTCTATAGTGCTACCTCACTGAAACATACTGTCGAAGACACCCAGCAGGACACCCCACCTGGTCACATTATACTGACAACGGGCAAACCAGTTGTACCACTCCTAAATTGCTGAGCGTTAAGCAGGAGTAGAACTACCATTTTTACAGACTCTGGTATGTCTCGGCCTGGGGACAGAACCCAAAGACTTCCTCACAAGGTTGAATGCTCAACTAAAGGCCAAAAGTGAGGCATTAGGAAGAAGAAAGTTGTTTAGAAAGAAAAGAAAAGATCCCACACTTAGTCGCCTCTTACGATCATGCAATGGGGGCAGCAGGTACAATTCTTACGCCCCACATGCAGGGACCATGTGATTATGAACCTAAAAATAAAAATACTAATAAGATACGAATATTGACCATGACAACAAAGCTAATAATTGTATATCAGGTTTTTGAAAATTGGTCACATGCATAGGGTATGAATGGCATTGTAAGAAATTATCAAGTATAGAAACACATTTGACCAAGGAATGTGCCCTTGGTTGTGAGTCAAGTTTAGTTACTGGGAGCCCGGGATCACCCGACTCGATATACATAAAACATCATGATAGTTACACTTACTGTATTGTGAACTGGTGTCTAGGTCATAATCAGCAACTTGTACCAACTGAGAAAATAAAAAACGTTATTATAAGCGAGTATGATTTTTAACATTTACTATAGTATATCTTTTTGATGTTCCATGATGCACTGAGAACACATTGTAGACCATGACAGCACTCCCTCAAAATACACTCAGAGGCATCAAAACATACTATATGAAACTTGCAAACAAGTTTTATATAAAAATTCTCAAAATCTCACTTTTTGAAGTTCCCTATATAAATATCAACCAATGTGTACAAATCACTAAAAAAAAATAATTTTGCATGAAATTTTACCTTAAGATACTTTATACTACTTCATTTCAATTTGCTTAAAACTGATCAATGTCTGATTGTCATCAACTATGATAACTTAAGTTTAGTTACACCTTGTGTTATAATTATTAAAGTTAATCTCTGTTTTTTTTTTTTACATCTCCAGGGTTGATCATGAGATTATTCCTGATGTCAAATATGTGAGTACAAGGTCAAAGAATAAACGTCTATGTGAAATGTGTTAATGCTAAATTAGAACATAATGCAGTAGGAATTCAAACTTACCAACTGAACAAATGTTGTTATTTTCATGCGTTTGAAGATTTCATTCTGTTTGAATCTGTAATCTGAAAAAACAAAACAGAACCAATTTCTTGTAGATATTTGCATTATTTATTGAAGTGCAAGATTTCTCCTTGTGGTTATCTTATAATTACTGTGGTGCCTGGCAGCTGACTGCAGCAGGGCTGAGAAAATGTTTTTCTCCTGCTCTGTGACACAACCCCTATAACTAATATGGAATATAACATAATCTAGGCTGGGTGCTGTATTGTCTTGGTTTTAACATTCAAATACCTTAGCACTTTTGAAAAACACGATGCCAGAAATTAGAAATATGGTTTCACCACAAAACATATCCAGCACACATTGCGGGCAGGCAGATAGACACATGTGGAGGTATTAGCCAGGTGGCTTATGTAGTTAACATTTGATAAAGCTTCTGCAATGGACCTAAACAGATTCTTTCATCTAGATAAGGTGCTATATCAAATATCATGGAGTGATTTTTGATACAGCCATTACCGTATTTTACCAGATATAATCCTGATAATAAGCCCACTTCCCATTGTTCTTACTTCCCATACATAGGGGGGATGTCCAGTAATAACCCCATCCCCATTTCTTCAAGTTCTTTGGCATCAATAAAAAATCTTTTAGTATTGTTTTTGTTACAGCCTCAATAAAGCTGCAGTTCATGCTCTACAATCAGATTGTCTTGTTGAAATTTATTTGGCAATCCTGAAATTGAAGTACATCACCTTGATTTTTGGTTTACAGTCTGGCTCAAGTAAAAGTGTTCAAATAATAATGACGTAACAGTCTTATTTTTTATTTTTGCTCTTTCATTAAACATTCTACATATATATGAAAATGATGTTTTCATGACCTGATAAAGTAGCTAGGGTGTTTTGAAGTTCTGTACCACAAGCTAATAAGTGTAGCAGCAGGGTGAAACAGATACTATAGTCCATAATAAAGGAGTATTGATTGGTCATGCATCAGTGGCAGTGCTATAGATACACCAGTTATATGATCTGTTTGACAGTATCTCTAAAACCTATGAATTGTTCATGGTTCTGAGCAGCCATCCATGATGTCGGACATTGATGGTTAAATTACCAGGAGCCTGTATATCTACCAAACACAGCGGTCATGACATTGGATATCATTTATCTAATTTATCACTTTTTGAAACATGTGGATGTGTCAGAATATTGAAGATCAATCAATACATCCGAGTTGATTGTTATTATCACATCCCTGTAATTATATACCAATGTAGCATGTATCATATTAAAGCACTACATGTTCTTGGATTTTCAAATTTTGCTTTAGTATATAAGTGTCTTAAGATATTTAAACGTCCAAAAAATGCTCAAGTTTACAATAGCAGACCCAATTACAATGAACTCATTTCTGCCCCAGGTACCACAATGAAGGGTTAAACTTATGCCTGGAAAATTAAAATTAATGTCATCATCATTTTACTTCACATAATTGACTGTTAATGGAGAAAAGGAGTTAGACTTTAACGAAGGCCTGACTAATATACACCATACATGTACATTACCAAACATTAGTAAATGTATCTGAAAATATGTTTTTTAAGAGCACATCATAAAGATGGATACATTGATTAAACCTCCTTGGTACCTGTACAGGTGTACACCAAAATTACTACCTTAAAATATCAATTAGACAGGGTATTGATTACAATAAACAATTCCCTTATTGACCAGGTATCACCTATACTACTCCACTCACTAATTAACTCCTTAACTATTTTAACCAGAAGGTTGAATTTGGAAATAAATAATATCAATATTGAAATAGAGTCAACATTTGGAAACTATAATATGTTTGAGGTAAAGTGTACCACTGCATCGGTTATAGTCACAAAGATTTAGGGTTCTATTTGGAGTTTATTTGACTTGGGACATATTCTCGAATTTTACATAGAAGGGGAAGCAACCAAAAAGGATTTGTTTGGCTCACTGTAGCTAATCCCCTGTCAACTTATAGTCACAGGCTTTGAAGCCCAGCAGTAGGACACTCAAATTGATGCTGATTATTTGAAACTCCTGTATGACAGCGTTAACATTGGCAGGTATGGTGGAGGCTTAAGATCCTGAGTTTGACTCATGCAGTTTTCTGGTTTATTTTATTTTCAAATGTCTCAAATTTCAAACAATGATTCAGTAAAATACATCACACCATGTGATTGCTATGGAATACATCTTTTGAAAATGACTTAAACATAAGTTTTCACAATAGTGACAATGATAATAAAAATATAATATCAGTTTTATAATTAATTGCTTGTACTCTTTACCCTTAATATATTGCCATAGGGCAAATATTTTTTCATCTTTCTAATGTGTACATGATGCAATTAGTAGCTGGAAAAATGCAATTAATGATAAAATTCAAATTCAATATTTAAGTGTTTCCTTTTTTTAAATTTATTTAATTGGTCATTAAAATTAGAGCAGACTTTTTCTACACACTGATCAAGGAATGAAGACAGCTACAGGTAATTCCTGTTCAGACATAACTCATGTTTTACAGTCACCGCAGACCTGTTTCTAAACTTCCATTAAATCAGTCTACCAGTTCATCAATCTTTCTAAGGAACAAACTTGCAATATTGATCCTTCAAACAATGCCATTGTATTATAATCATTTACTGGTGAAAACAGCATTATATCTTTAACACATTTTCTTTCTCATAAATGTTTGCTAATCTCAGGAATATTATTTCATTCAAACAACAGTACATTCAACACCTTTTCAAATTAAGTTCTAAATATGTAGCAGGCTGCCCTCCAAAGTCCACACGGCAGGCAATGAAGGATGTGTATTGTGTGGGAACAATGACAAACAGCTCTGTAGTTAACCCTTGACTACACACAGTGATCAGCACATACAATCTAAATTAGGCACAAGTGATTCTTCCAGTTTAAAGAAATTATTATATTATAAGTACCACAAATGTTGCAAATATATTTCTACAGAACATGACATGCAATTTTTTATTTTTTTTGTAGACAAAATGCGACCTCTGCATTTAAATTTCAGAGAAAGAATTTAACAACAAGAAAGTACTGCAATGTCAGCAAATCCATGATTTTGAACTCAAACTTGATATAACTAGGGCAAAATGTGAACAAAGGAGAGATTCAAACAGAAAATTAAAGTACAAGTAGAAGAAGACCAGGTGTTCCAGAAGAGTAAGCGTCTTCTGGTTTCTGTACCAGTAGGTCAAGTTAAAGTAATGTCACGTCCTCACCTCGAGAACTCAAGTGATATCAAAACCACACGGCTGAGGCACCATGGCCAGATGCACATTATCTGTTGGTTTGACCTTAGATATATTTTAAAATAAAACAAAACAAAAACAAACAAACATAAGTATTTAACTTGTATAAATTTAACAACAAGGTTACCGCGAGCGGTATATAATACGCCCGTCACACATTGAATGAGCAGTTGTTTGTATGATTGAAATATATGAAGTATTTGTGAGTAATTGATATTGAAAGAGAAATCATTCAACATAACTGGTAGATCAATGAGTGCAATTCAACATCATGGAACACATGCATCGCATTAATGAAACCAACGGGCATAACTCCACAAATTATGGTCGGATAATGGCGGTTATCGAACTTGTCCGAGGTTTCATGGTAATTAACCTTGTTGTGAAGTTTGAAGTTAATCCGTTAATAATTACTTGAGATATCGAGCGGACACTGTTTCGACAAGTCCATAAAGGAGCATAACTCCACAAATTATGGTCGGATAATGGCGGTTATCGAACTTGTCCGAGCTTTCATGGTAATTAACCGTATTGTGAAGTTTGAAGTTAATCT